GGGGGGGGGGGGGGGGCGACGAGTATACACTTCATTTCAAGTAATAAGTGGGGGTGGGGAAGCAATGCCTACTAGAAGGAAGAAATACTGGGAGTGCGTGAGAAAGGATAAATATTATAGTGAGGGTGATAAATAATTAAGGCGGGAGGTCGAAAGTTCACAAAGAAATAGACCCTACATCTTAATATAGGACCAATATAGTGTGCTGTTGGAGTAGCTTAATGCTCATGCAATATTAATAGCCAGAAATAAAACTTTTTTGACAGTAGATCTATTGATAGTCAACTGACAAGTATTGGTGTTTTTGTCTTTGGTTCATATTTTAAATTTAGGCTACTAGGTAGAGCTTTATAATATATTTAAACCAAGATAACATAATTTAAAAAAATTTTTTTACTGTGACCTCTTGCCAAATGACGTCTGCCGGAATAATAACACATACAAGTCGTCTGGCAGTCATGTGACATGCCCGCCAGAAGAATATTTCCCACACTATTTGTCCGGTCGCTGGACGTGTAGACACTGCCCTTATATAAATAAAGTGATTTAAGCCTTGCCTTAAATTAAAGACTAAATTAAATATATAATTAATTCAGAATTGGGCACTATTTGATTTTATCATTAGTACATTACTGTCATTGGCTATTTTCTGTCAACCAATTAGACCACTAGATTTTCTAAGACGTTTAAGTCTAAAGTTTCTACCTCATTCTCAGTTTCTGTTTTATTTTCTTGTATTTTTTAATTGTGGGCCTTATGACATATTGTTTAGGGAAGAAGACTGTTAGCAGTTGTTAGCCAAAACGTCAGTTTTATTGTATTTTTTTGTATGTAAAACAAAATCAAAAAGATAAAAAATATGTACATGACATTGAACTATATTTGAGTAAGTTCATTGAATAATATATATTCCGAATTAGACTTAGCCGCCTTAGGGAATGTTAGGAAGGAAGCATTGCAGTCAACCAAGTGTTGCCAACCATCTAAAAATTTTCGGCCATAAAAATTTGATATAAAACCATTAGTCAGTAAATCTACAGAAGTTTGTAAAAATTTGACCTAAAATGATCTGTCCATAAGAACTTAATGATGTCCATGAAAAAAATGAGACATTGTATCATTGTACAAAAATCATTTGAAGCAAGAAAAAAAAGGGAAAATCACAGCGTTTTAAAAATTTCTTCTTGGTTGGTTTAAACTTGTTTGATAATATTCAGGAGAATTCCGAGAAATTCAACCCTGATGAGAATGCAACACAAAAAAAGTAACATTTAGTTATAGTGTGTCAAATGACATAAACTAAAAGAGACATAGACATAAAACATTTTTTTGTACAGATAATTAAATATTTTTTAATTCTCTAGTTTTAAAAAATGTATTTGTCTAAAAATTGTGAGTATTTTAGACCATTCAAAAATCTTATTTCAATGAGTTCGCAGCCCTAGCTCTACCCATGTCATATGAGGCTTAGTGCTAAGTTACTTTTTGCTTGACTCAACTCTAGCCATAAACAAGATAAATAATGGGCTGGTCCACTGTTCCAGTATTAAACAGAAACTCGTCCCTCTCCCCCATAGACAGCGACGAGGCCATGACAAGCAATTCAGGCTCATACCAGCAAGAAGCCAGTATAGGAGCTGCTCATTCCTGCCCAAGACAATCAGGGACTGGAACCATCTTTCAAAAGGAACAGTTGAGGCGACAACACTAGACACATTTGTGTCTATTGCCTCAAGCCTTCAAACCCCTAGTGCATAATTTCCTCATCACCACCAGTAACAGAAACATTGCAAATCCCATCTACATGCATAGGAGCCAAAATTATCAATAAATTGATCGTGGGCCCTTACGATATAGAAGAAGAACTTAAAACTTGCTGTGTAAACATCATTAGCTGAATCAATCATTCCTGTCTGTCAACACTCAATACACTCATGCGCAATATTAAGAGAGAAAAAGAAAGAAGCAGAATAATTAAAACCAAAGTACTTCAAAATAAGAAAAAAGCAGAATAATTAAAACCAAAGTACTTCAACAACTGCCAAAAACTTTCAATAATCTTATTTACCAAATGAATCTCACTTAAGTTAGCTCAATTCCCAATGCTTGTAAAAAGATTAGGCTATAAAATTGCATATGGTGTTTGTTTTATTTTTTAGGAGGATCCATCTTTGGAGCGGCATTTTCGTGGTCATCGAGATGTTGTTACATCAGTGGATTTCAATCCCAACATGTCACAG